CCAGGTGTCAATGAGTGTGAAAGGAAAACCTTATCACTCCAAAGTAAATGTCCAGAGGGAGTGGGAAAGCTAAGCTTGTCAAGACATTATTTTTCAACAATAAGAGACTCTGCTGCACTGTGGACTAATTCAATTTATCATTCTTACATGAGTTGGAACAGATAAAGAAACTCTTGAATTAGTTCAGAGTAAAATGCGGTCACTCTTATAAGTGGGAGTTGGAAAAAAAAGATCCTTTTAAAAATATGAAGTATTAAAAGCTTTTCATAAAATGCATGTGTGTATTTATTTAGTCTTCATTAAATAAATATAATTATTTAATTTATTGGGGAAATGAAGTCCTTGAAAAGAGGATATGAAAGAGATAATCTATGCACTGATACCCAAAAATCAATTTATTACACTTTTAGAAAATAGAAGCTATAACTAGATAAAATAGGAGTCAACTAACTCACTGTGAGTTTTTCCCTGGCTCTGTAAACCGGAGTAGCCTATCTTTGATGAAGTTGGCTTTCACTGGACATCATTTATACTGTCCATGGTGAACCACTCAGCTCTCTTATGTTCTGTTTGTTCTGCATAGTAGCTCTTTTGATCTTTCCCCCTTTGCTTCTCCTTGGATATTAATGGCTATACCCTCTAATTGAATGTAAAGGTAGACATCATTAGTCATTAATTCTCTAAGTATTTCACTTCTTCATCTCCAGATTTGTATTTGCTTCTTTCTTTGTTTTTCTAAAGAAAAGCACACTTGTCTTTACTGCTTTTTTAGAGCAGTCTCTTTACTTGAGCTCATGAACATATATTTGTCAGTGAATACAACTCCATCTTTAATCTTCTTTTTTCTTGGAAATTTTAGACTCTATCTTTGGGAGACTTCACTCAGCTAAAGTGTCTTGAATTAAAAAGAGTTTTCTCTTGAATTTATTTCTTCCTCAGTTAGCCTTAATTCTCTCCCTCCCTTCACTCATCAACCTTCTAAATATATGCACACACTGACTCACATCTCCACTTTCAATTCAATCCTCAACCTACTGGGTTTCTAATTCCATTACCTAAGATGCTTCACTCAACTGTCATCTAAGCCTTAATATCAGACCTGAAGCTCTGAAGTTAGTACAGGAAAAAGCAGGGAATACTCTGGAAGTAATAGGTATAGGGAAGGTCTTCCTCAATAGAACCCCAGCAGCTCAGCAACTAAGAGAAAGGGTGGACAAATGGAACTTCATAAAATTAAAAAGCTTCTGCACAACAAAAGAAATGGTCTCTAAACTGAAGAGACCACCCACAGAGTGGGAGAAAATATTTGCCAGCTATACATCAGACAAAGGACTGATAACCAGAATATACAGGGAACTTAAAAAACTAAACTCTCCCAAAAATCAATGAACCAATAAAGAAATGGGCAAGTGAGCTAAACAGAACTTTCTCAAAAGAAGAAATTCAAATAGCCAAAAAACACATGAAAAAATGCTCACCATCTCTAGCCATAAAGGAAATGCAAATAAAAAACACACTAAGATTCCATCTTACCCGTTAGAATAGCCATCATCAAAAACACCACCAACAACAGGTGTTGGCGATGATGTGGGGAAAAAGGAACCCTCATACACTGCTGGTGGGAATGCAAGCTAGTGCAACCACTCTGGAAAAAAATATGGAGGCTTCTTAAAAATCTAAACATAGATCTGCCATATGATCCAGCAATCCCACTCCTAGGGATATACCCAAAGGAAGGCAACACAGGTTACTCTAGAGGCACCTGCACACCCATGTTTATTGCAGTGCTATTCACAATAGCCAAGTTATGTAGCCAAGATGCCCCACTACAGATGAATGGATTAAGAAAGTGTGGTACTTATACACAGTAGAGTTTTACGCAGCCATGAAGAAGAATGAAATCTTTTTATTCTCAAGTAAATGGATGGAAGGAGAGAACATTCTGAGCTAGGTTAGCCAGGCTCAGAAGACCAAAAATCGTATGTTCTCTTTCATATGCGGACTTTAGATATAGGGAAAATACACCAATGTGGTTGGACTTGGGTCACATGCTAAAGGGAGAGTACATACAGGAGGTATGGGGATAGGCAGGAAACCCAAAACTTGAAAGTATTTGATGTTCCCACTGCAGAGGAACTAATACAGAAACCTCAAAGAGACAGAGGTCAATATGGGAAGGTGATCAGGAACTAGTGAAAAGGTTAGTTAGAGATGAATCAACTTGGGTTCTAACACATTAGTACATGGAAGCAGTGCTAGGAATCTCTCTGTGTAGCTATTCTTATCTTAACTAGCAAAAACGCTTTGTCTTTCTTATTATTGCTTATACTTTCTCTTCAACAAAATTGGAGAAAAGGGCAGAACAGGTTCTGCCTGGAAGTGAGGGGGGGTGGGAGGGAGAGAGAGGGAGAGAAGATCAAGGGAGAGAAATGGCCCAAACAATGTATGTACATGTGAATAAATGAATAAAAAAGAAAAAAAAAGAAAAAGAAAACAGTGGATTGTCTATAAGCAGCAAAAAGTAAAAAAAAAAAAAAAAAAAAAAAAAATTGTCATCCAAGGACCTAGTAATTAGCAAAAGTAACTGGCTCTTCTAATTTCTTCTGGACTGTTGTTTCTCCTCTTTGTCCCTTATTTCTCCTCTCCTCATCCTGTAAAAGTCACTGGCTATCCCCCAACAACACACACACACCCCCTCTACACACATACACTCACTCACATGCACACCCACATAAACCTCATGCCCTGTAGACCTGGACCAACCTCGTTGTTCCCTGCCTCTGCCTTGATCCAGGTCTTCATCACATTTAGTCTGCTGTGTTTCTGTGAATTTTGACATAAACCACTTCTCTGTAGTCACTTCATTGTACAATCTTTCCACAATAGAGTAACTGTCATCAAAATGCCATGAAGCCATGGGCTCCGGTGGTTCACACCTGTGATCCTACAATCAAGAGGACTGTGGTTTGAAGCCAGCCCAGGCAAATAGTTCATGAGACCATACCTCAAAAATACTCAACGCATACATACACACACACACACACACACACACACACACACAATGCAAAGAAAACAAGAATATGATCAGGCAAAACCCCAGCTAAAACCTCTGTAGCTCTCAGTTCACGTAGGATGTATTTGAATTTTCTTTCTCTCTAGCCACATTTTGCAACACACATCAGAGTGTTACTCCTTAATTGAGCCATGACTGTCCATTCCTCATATTTTGCACCTATTGTTCCCTAGTCTGGTATTTTCTAAACCCTTCCCTTGGGCAAAGAATCTTGTTCTTCTTTGTGTTCCTGTAGTACTTTGCAAATACCATGAGGAAGGTGGCTCACCATACGTTATTACAATGGTCCAAAATGCCAGACCTCCATTCCCCCACACATTGGGAGCTTTGAATACACCATAGTTTTCAAGAAGTGTTTTCAGCCTGGCACTCATGGCTCAAACCTATAATCCGAGCTACTTGAGAGGCTGAGATCAAAAGGATCATAGTTCCAGGCCAGTCTAGGCAGGTAGTGTGCCAGACTGCATCTCAACCAATAGCTAAGCATGCCTGGCACCAATAGTGGGCAGTCCTATCACCCTAAGCTATGAGGGAGGGTGAGATCAGGAGGATCGTTGATTCTGGCCAGCCTGGCAAAAAAGTTTATGAGACCCCCATCTCAATGGATAAAAGCTGGGTGTGATGGCATGCACCTGTTTTCTCAGCTATGGCAGAAGCTTAAAATTGGAGGATGGTTATCTAGGCTGGCATGGGCAAAAAGCAAGACCCCATCTTCAAAAAAAAACAAAAACAGAGCAAAAAAAGGACTGGAGTTGTAGTATAGAGCTCCTGTCTAGCACAGCAAGCACAAAGCCCTGAGTTCAAACTCCATACCACCAAAAAAAGTGTTTTCATTATATGTTAATGAATAAGTAAATGTCTTGAATTTCAAACCTATATAAGTGGGTTAAGAATAACTTACAAATATGGCCATGGGGAAAAGAAAGTTGTTTAGCAATGAAAAGTAGCCATCAATAATACAACCGCTAAAACATAGCAACCAAGAACTATAGAGTGTAACACAGTAAAGAAAAGCTCAACTTCATTTCTAGAGCCCTGTTTAGACTCACTGCAATTAGGACACTGGAGAATAACACTAGACCCTTAGTGGTTCCCTTACAACGCAATTGCTGTAGGGTGAATTGCAACCTGTTAGGAGGTTCTGAAATGGTGTCATGGTGAGTATAACTGGAGAAATGTCTAGATCTGAAGGAGAGTGAAGAACAGTTCTATGAAGACAATTACCAAAAGTGACAGTGAGGGTATTGGGCAAGATTAAAGACCTGTGCAGAAGGTTCCTGAACACAGAAAGACATAAACAGTACAGCAAAAAACAAGAATAAGATGTGACGTGAAATGAACTAATGATGACATATGATCCCCTGCTTGTCCATTTTCATTATTTTCCAACCTGTGCCATGTCGTAAGTGATATTCAAGTCTGTCTAATGTTTCTGTGTTTGTCTCTAGTGATTTATGTTTAAAAATCGGTTTAATTTGAGCAAAAGATCTCTCAAGTGACAATGCTATCATCTATACACACATCAATTGAGATATGGTCAAAACACAATCCATTCTAATATCACAAGGATTTTCAAATTGATTTTAAAGCTTTTCAAAGTAACTTTCATTGTGACTGGGTAGCTAAAACTCAAGTATTACATAAAATGTAAGCTGGTGTTTTAAGGCTAAGTTTTCATAAAAATGTAAGTCTCACTTTTCCCAGCTGGTGTATTTTCTGGGAAAATAAATGATTCTTATCAAGAATGACAATACAGTCAATTAAATCTATCATTCATTTTCAACTTGTATAATTTTACTCATTATTCTTTCTGTGTGAAGGAGAATGATGAGTTGAATGCAAGCCATTGGTTTTGCTGCATCGTGAACTCTGGAGATGAATTTACTTGATGTCCTATAAGCACTCTCCTTGTCCACTTTGTACTCACATATCACTAGCGATGGAGGAGTTCCGGGACATAGATTTTGGAGAGAGGTCATAATCACTGTCGGATCGATACAGGAAGGACTCCCGGCGTTGACTGTGGACAAAGTTTGCTTGGAGAATGAGCCCAGACCCTGGGCTGGTCATGGGATCCAAGGGACTCCGTCCCGCAGATGTGCCATTGTCCACGTCAAAGCTGAAAATGAAGGAGAGGGAATCAGGACGTAGCAGACACTTGCATGCTCATATTTTACCAAAGGTTCGAAGGAGTTTAGGAATTGACAGTGGGAAAGTTTACAGCTGATTTCTGCTGGTGTAAAATGATATTTAAATGATTTTAGAGTGGAACGGTAAAAAACAACACACAGTTTCTAATGTCACAGTCCTTATAATCGAGATAAACTTTCCTCAAAGAACTTTTCTAGTAAAACATCAACCAGTATTAAATAAAGGAGACTCTCATGTGTTTTTAAGAGAGAAGAGTGATAACTTGAGATTACCCACGAGGTATGTGGTTTAAGCAAAATTGTTGAATGAATAAACTAATAGCTTCAAGTTTAACTGTCGTTAACATTTCAATCCTTACCATTAGAACCCTATCAGGAGGTGGGCGGGTAAGCGCAGTGGTAGAGCTCTTGTAAGGCTCTGGACTCCAACCCCAGCACAAAAATAGTTCTTTTTCAATTTTTTTTCCAAGCTGTTAACCAGCTAATTAAAAATTTTATATACTTTCTTGTAGTTATTAGTAATTAGTATTATTACCGAAAGATTGAAGCTAAACTGGGAGAATTAAGGTAGAGAGGTTGATGTGCATGAATGACCTATGAATCGATGACCAAAGAATATTACTTCCAACCCAATTCTTAAGTAAAAAGAAGAAAAGTCATCATGAGTTTGACCAGTTTAAAATATGTTTCCCAATTAGAAATTTTCTCAGAATTGTGGCACCTTACAAATTTATTTATTTGGTCCTGCAAAGACAATGACATATTATCCATATGAATAGATTCATTGTATAGACAGTGATACCAGGTCCTAGAAAAGTTAACTGACCAAAGTCATTGAGAATTTGTCTTCAGAGAAGATAGTCAGGGAAGCTCTTCAGCACAAAAACCTAAATATGTTAACGTACATAAAAATGATCATGTTGATTTCCTTTTAATAGAAAGATGACCTTACTGCTAAAAAAAAAGGAAAATAGCCTTTCCTTGTTTTTCATGAACAGAAATGGAGGAGATACAGAAGTATGATTTTTGGTTTAGTTTTCTCCATTTCCATTAACTAACTACCAAATAAGAAAAAAATCATTAATTTGTATTTTTGAAATTGTGATAATCATTTCAATTTCAATTTAAGCAAATATTAATTTACAGAGATAATACACTATAAATTTGGAAACTAATATCTTTAATAACAATAGCTTAGTATCTTTGGAAACTAAATATCTTTAAACATTTAACATTTTTTGCTATAATATCTATAAACAAAGACATTTATTTATAGGTCAGAAATGGCTGATAAGAGATATTTTAGTGCTTTTGTCATTTTTCTTTGTAGGTTGTAATATTAGAATTTGTCCACTAGATGGAAGTAATTTTCTTAAATAAGAAAAATACATTTTATTTATGTTTTTGGCAGTATTGGGGTTCGAACTCAGAGTTTATGCACCTGCTAGGCAGGAGCTTTACCGCTTGAGCCACAGCCCCAGCCGAGAAAAGTCCATTTAAAATTAACTTGAAGGCCTAAATTATCTATTACATACAGACTCATGAAAACAAATCAAATACCAAAAACTAAAATCTTGCAATCTATAGAAAGTGATTACTAATATTGATAAAATTATATTAATCTAAGAAATACTCGTATTAGCTTTATTTATTTTATTTATATATATATTTCTTTCTTGAAACAGGTCTTGCTATGTTGCCCAGGCTGGTCTTGAACCAATGAGCTCAGTGATTCTCCTGTCTAACCTCTTGAGCAATTTGGACTATAGGCACATACCACTGTGCCCAGATCAGTATTAGCTTTAAAAGAAATGGAAAATGAAGAGCTGAAAAATACGTGCTGATGTTCTTTTAGATTTTTATTTAAAAACAAGAGGACATAACTAAGTTTCATAACACATAAGTACATAGCTTGCTGGGGTAGAGTACTATGAGCATCATCGGTGGTCTGGGGAAACGCTAAGTTTGGGTCACACAAGCTTTCTCAGAATACAGTCTGTTTTGGGAGGTGGACCCAGGGTCTGAGGTCATTTGCATGGTAGATTTCATTTACATGAAATACTTCTACAATCAAAACTCACTATCTGGAAAAAGTAATGTTACTGAGATTCTCTATTATGGAAGAAGCATTGGCAAGCATCTGTATAAGCAAATGACCTTATAGAAAAGAGACTTTATATTATGAACGATTCAGTGAAGAAACTTTTGCAGTTTGTCTTATTTCCTTAGCTTAATACTGGAATAAACACAAGCATATTAAACATAGCACTTCTCAACAAGGCAGTTGAACACGAAGCAATCAGAGACTAAAACCAACCTTATGCCACCCACATTAAAGAGTCTACAAATAGTACAATACTATGATGTATGAATTAGGCAATTAGAAGTGCAACTTAGACCATGAATGCAAAGGCTGTTTAAAGACTGGAAGGAGGTGTGTTTTTGAACGACAGGAAAAAAAAATGTCCAGGCAGAATAGAGTGGGATGGGGGTAAAAGGGTATCCAGCTAATAGGAAGCAGCAAGAGCAAACCAAGAAGGAATAAGTGTTAAAACAGGAAAGAGGGTGTCTGGCTTCATTTTGTTGCTGGTGTTAAAGAATGTTGGGGACAATTAAATGGCAGTCTATACAGTTTAACCCAGTAGGTAGGACTGGGTATGCTTTTGAAAAGGCAGAGAGCCAGCAGAAGTTTGCTATGAGGGAATATGTGAAAAGACACACATCAGCTTTTACCTGATATCCCAGGGGAGCTAGATGGGGAAGATTATTTGCTTTTTAGTTGTATACTTTCAAATTCTTTGATTTGTGAAAATAAACATATCATTTTTACATTAAGTGGACGCAGCAAACCACAATGTAGAAAACCATAAAAATAGAAAATAAATAAACCAAAAAGGAGAACAGAACCATCCCCTCCAAAAAAAATAAAAGGCTCGTTCATTAATTCCTTCAAAAATTAGAAGTGGGGAACATGCCTTGGGAGAGGTACATTTTGGATTTTAAAAGATCCTACTTTCTTATTCAGTGGGTAGTAAATAGTTAAACTGAGAGTTAGACAGTGGTCTACTACTTCTTAACCTTCTGAAAGTGAGCTAATTTAACTGAGAATTAATTTGTGCTGAAAATATATACGGCTTCAAGTAAGCTACTTACTTTTGAAACATAACTTTATCAATAGTCAGGTCATGGTAGTATTAGTAAAATGAGAAAGTGATAGGAAAGTAGCCCTAACTTTAGTTGCTGGTACCAAAGAGATGAGGAATTATGGAATTCCCCAGCCTTTTTCAACACACACTCAGATATGGGGAATTCTCTTTTGACTCATTGTCAATTAGATAGATCCCAAGCACAACAGTATCAGAAGTTTGGAAGAGCAACTAAAGAACTGACGAGGGTAAAAATATCCAGTTATAATAATGATGGTTATTATAATGATAATGAAAATAATAAAACTTGGGGGCAATTTCCACGTGCCAGGCACTGAGCTTGATATATCCAGATAATCTTATTATCCTCACCCTTCGAAGCAGGCACTGTAGAATCCAAGGCATAGAGAAATGGCTCTATGTTAAGTAATGTGTTCAAAGCCATGCATCTCACAAGTGAGTTTTAAACTCAAGCTGTCTGTTTCTAGACTCTGAGAGAATGGGAAACCGTGTTTCTGTCTCAGTTACAGGATCCTCTATCAACCATTCAGAAATACAAAATACTTCTTACCTTACCTGGATGGAACCTCAAGTGTTCACTCTTTCAATGTGACATTCTGATTAACATATAGGTCACACATGCCAAGGCTAATTCTGGGACCAGGTTTTCATATGACCCAACATTTTAGAATTTCCTAAACGAGTTTCTTTACAGATTTTGAGATTTCATTTGGAATTAAGCGAGGGCCAGTGTGTCTGAAAAGTCTTGACAACTAGAACTAAGTGAGATGCTCTACTCTGCTGCATGTTTTCTTTTCTTAATGCAATTTAGACATGCACACATTCCTTAAAGGTGCTGGCTTTTACCAGAAGAAGTTGTAGAGAAACAAGGAGGCATCTGCTCTGTTCCATCTGAGATGGCAGTTAAAGTCAGGACCAGCTGGCCTATGGCATTCAGAGATCTGGAAGGCTGAGTGTGTCTGACACTCTTCATGGAACCATCCCCACACTAGAGACAGACAGAATCAGACAGACTGACTAACCAAAAAAAAACTGCTCCCAGCTCTCTGCACTGCTCCCAGTGTGTCTTACAATCATTTGTCTGCCAAAGGTCATTTCCTATCCTTTTGAATTCATGCTACACTGTTTCTCTGGTTTAAATATTTTGCAAGGCTTCATAACTATCATGTCTTTTCTCAACTGGTTCAGGGTCCTGTTACTGTCCTGGGTAAAGAGCTCCTCTCATCTACTCCTACCTCAGGACCTTATACTCAACACTGACTGGCAATTTGGAACCTGAAAGAGGTAGGACACAACAAGAACTTTGATGGAATATCTGTTGGGAGTCCCTATCAACATAAGACCCCATGACCAAGGCTTCTATGAAGGGTTTCCCCTGGGAAGAGGCTGCCAAACGCAGCTGGGCATGCTGGGAGCCTCCACATCTACCAGGAGCATCTGAGAGCTGCTTCTACCTCTAGGTGTTAAAAATAATGGTGCTTTAACAATTTTACCCTGTTACAAAGTAGGGAAACACCAAAAATGTTCCTATTATAATATTTACTTGAGAGTTAGAAAACAAGGGTTAAATTTCAAATCTTGGTTCTGCCACTTTTTAGTTTCAAGCTCTTGGCCAAGTTACTGTATGCCTCTAAGCTTTTATTTCCTGATAAGGATAATTACACACCAAGCTCCATTATGAGGATTAAAAGAGAAAAATGTTTGGAAAGCATTTACCAATTGCCTGGCAGCTAGTACCTTCTCAATAGTTTAGCAGCTATTGTTTTTATTACTTCTTATCCTCCAGGTGATCTTCCACTTAG